TCCTCATCGGCATTATTACTCTCGCCGTCGCGTTGGAACTTTGCTCAATGCTGAGGCTGATCCTGCATTGAGCGGGAGGGGATCTAATCTTATTCTATGGGGAAATCTAGAGTGAGAATTGGTTTTATATATCATGTGACCTCGTTTATATCACTATAATCCGCTCTGCCGTAAGTGGTGTGGTGGTCATACACTGCCGTCGAAACAGTTGTATGCTGCATCAATGTATCTGGTTCGAACCACCTGCTCCGTCGTCCGATCCTTTTAACGAACCACAGTGAGCTAGTTTTGTTTCGCATGTTGTGGCTTACCCCGACCAGCGAGGAAGCGTCTTAATAAGAAAGTCCGTCTCGCCCACATTATACAGAAAACTTTCAAAGTCTAGCGACAATGACTGGGTGTTTCTTCCGCCATCGCCCCAGTCGTCCGCAGTATTGTGTTCTTCTCGTCCCCGTCGTGCGATCCGGTATGACAGTGCTGGAATCCGAGTTGAATCTTACCGGTCCTGCAGAGCTTTTACATCAATCTGGCTGTGGCGCCATCCGACATTCATATTATTCTTCTCACTGCGCGAGCTAAGTCCGTCCGAAGACCATGAGCGTCGCATAGCGGGACGGCTTCGTGGTCGCCTCGCCGAGCGACGGGCCCCCCTTCCTTCCCGGCGAATTTGCAAAAAAACGATACGCTGTATCCTTATTAATTGGACTAAGTACCGGCAACACGAACCAACTCTGGCGTGTCATTTATGCGGATCATCTAGCGGTCGCGACCGGATATATACAGCTGAATAGGCATCGCGCAATTGTCGACCCTGTCAGCATCTCGAGGAACGTCGAAACGACAATATGTCAGTAACAAAGATGAACACGAACGCGCGCGACTATTTTACTCTTTCAGTTAACAGATATAAAGTGCTATAGAGGTTGACCGTAAGCTGTACGTGCGACGCGGCCGCACGTGTGCGCCAGTGTCGTCACTATGTCTCTCACCGTTCCCATCTCGACCGTTTTTCGCAGTCTTGATTTTCCTAGTTTCTTTTCTCTTGCTTTGTGATAGTCACTATTCGATGTCGTCATGACATATCTGCTTCCACTCTGATGGCTTCTATAACACACTCGAACACTTGATCGTAAATATATCGACTGGAGTGAAAGTTCCTGCTAGAAATTCCTATTCTAAGTATATATGGCTCCAACTTTGAATATCTTTAGCGATTTCCATAGGCTCAACGCTTCAGTGCTTTCATTATCCCTCGATTCTTCGGAAGCGTGGAAGGCTCCTACTCACTTATTTGCAACTCGGAACTCAATCGTTTATTGATGATTTATTATAAAAAGTTCAAGGTCATGTGGGGTTATGGTTTGCTACCTTTCTTCAAGAGCTCACGAGCGCATAACCAGATACAAAAAAAAAGATTCAAGGGTAAAGTGTATACAACTCGCGAGGAGAGACGAGACCTTTTTACGAAAAGTTTGGTAGCTCCTTTCTGAACAAGGTAAACTATCTGAAGTTATGCAGTGAGCCCTTAACACGTTGGCGACGATGTCGGTCAATGCTGACCGACAGGCAGTCTGTCACATGGGACGATGTCGGTCAATGGTGACCGACAGCTTGAAAGTAAGCAAACTTAGATGGAACCGCGACTTTTCTATTTCAAACGTTTACTTCAGTGTCCTAACTTACTACACTTGTCTGCGAATTATGATCTTTCTAATTCCTGGGAGTTTTATTCTGAATTAGTTATCAGTGGCAGAAACGCGCAATTGAATCACAACCACAAAGTTCCCACCGTCAGCAAACTGGAAATCTCACTAAAATTGTTCATATCGACCTTTACTAATTAGGTCACCGTCAGTAGAATGTCCATTTCTAGCCTTAGGTTCCCATGATGGTCAAGTAGGCTCAGTCTTACTCATAGGCAGGACAAAAGTACCTATCCAGTCCATCAACTGCCAAATATTTCACAAACAATTTTTTGACCTTGAAATGACTCGTTTAAATCCTTATTCGATCATGAAGAACAAGATAACAGTCAAACAAAAGCTCATTCCGTCAGGTACGCAAAGTTTTTTGCGTCATTCTTGAGTGAAAAATTCGTAGAAGATTTCAGATGTGATCAGGATACCAGTACCATCTAAAGGAAAGCTCATATTAATAATAAAAATGAAGAATGCGTGAAATTGCGCCTTCAGAACCTATTCTAACATGAGGTTTGAAAATGCCAGGCGATGTCACTGAAATTTCACCCAGCATTCAGTAGTAACAACTTTTCCTTGTTTCTAAACGTGTCTGGAGTACTCTAGTCAAAGGCATTTTGTGCATTTCGAGATTTTACAGAGCTAAAATAGATTTTGCCCTGTGTTACCGGCGCTTTGCATGCAAAAAACGTCTCGTCCCATGCGCGCGACAAGGAAAATCGCTCGTGTTAAGGCAATTCTTAATTTCAATAATCGCCTTTCACAATTTCAGCGACCTTCCCAGACTCGGTGTTTTTCAGTCTTTCTGGCTATGGATTCTGCACACTGCTGGTATTACCCCAGCAGTGTGCAGAATTCATAGCCATTGCATTGAATGATATCGAAATTTAAAGTTCAATTGGAACGTTGGAACGAAAAAGTAAACCGAAACGAGGAATCCAAGCACTGACGTCGAATGATGAGGCACATTCGCTTGTTGATAAAGCCAGTAAACGTATTGAATAACACTACGGCAAGTTCTAACAATTTGCCATGCTCTTGACATGTTTTTCGTAGCTTCTTGCAAAATGAGCTAGCCTTTTGCCTTTTATTCGACGACATAGTTTACCTTTGCTTCTCAAGGGTTATGTGTTAGTGAGCTTCCGAGCTTTTCCTCCTATTTGCACAATCACGTTATCACTACCTGATTGCAGGGCAGCGGATAGAGTTGTTCACTAGTTAGTCAAGGAATGACTCGACATGCTTTCTTTCTCTTTGTTGTTTTCTTTAAGATGAATTCTTGCGAGGTAGTATATTATTTCTGTTGATGTTTCTCCGAATCGTCGGTCTATAAATAGAGCCTTCTCTTAACTAGAAGGGTGGGCACAGGTTGAGTCATGATGTCGTTGAATTGGGTGTTATTGAAACTCTCGTTCAGTTCTCCGCGACCCGCTGGATGCATAATGTTAATTAACACAACTAACTGTTTTTTGTGCAACTTAGAATTTAAGGTTTTTCAAATGTTGTGAGGGGACATCCTTCAATTTGGGAATGTTCCTAGGAACTGTTCCTTCAATACTCCTAGGAACTGTTCCTTCAAT